TTTTACTAAATTTTTGAACTTGGAAACTGAAATATCTTCCTATCAGGATTTTTGCAAAAATCATTATCTTATAGCCCTGGGAGTGGGGGGAGGCAATTTACAAAATATACAGACCAATACACCAAATGTATGATACGTACACCAAAATAACACCCACAACAAACAAATGCTTATTGAGATGTCTGCTCTGGCACATCCTCTCTTGCTGTGGATGTAACAAAGATTTCTACTGGCCAAATGTCTACTTAGCTAATAAATGTAGCCTGACTCACTTCAGCTCAAGATAGGTTCCCAAGAAATCACGCTGGAAGCCATCCCCATCTACTCTCAAGGGAAGTTCCTATTAAATAAGAGAATGCTCCCCTCCAGCACCGAGTCATCTCCCACTGGAGATAAAAAAAAATGGGTTTCTATCAGGATTTCATCAAAAACTTGCCATGAATTATTTGTACAAAATGACGGGATTCATCATAACATTTGCTACACACATATAACATACTTCATATCCCCCTATATTAATTGTCTCATTGTTGTAACAAAATAGCTGACAAAAACAAATCAAGGAAGGCGTTGAGCAGAGAAGATGGTGGCCCTGTGGGTAAAGCTTTTGTTGAGCAAGTGTGGGAGCCTGAGTTTGGATCCCGAGGACATACATAAAGGCAGAAGGAAGCAGTAGCATGTGTCTGTAATCCCAGCATTCCTTTGTCGAGACAGAGGTAGAGACAGAAGAATCCCCAGAAACTCTCAGGCCAGCCAGCCTGAGTCAGGCAGCAGTAAACAAGAGACTTGTCTCAAACAGGCAGAAGTCAAGGACTGACACCTTAGATTACCTCTGACTGCCACATGTGCACTCACAAACACATGTGGAGAGAGAGAGAGAGAGAGAGAGAGAGAGAGAGAGAGAGACTAAAACAATGGGAAAAAGAAAGATAGCAAAGCAGTTAAGAGTGCTTACTACTCTTGCTCTGATACCAGGCAACTCATAACCACATATAATTCCAGTTCCAAAGGATCTGATGCCCTTTCTAGCCTCTGTGGACACTTGCATACATGTGCATACTCACACACATGTTCAAATGCAGACACACATATGAATAAAGATAATATTTTTAAGAAAGAAGAAGGGTTTATTTTGGCTTATAGCTCCAGGAGATACAGTCTATCAAGGCAGAGAAGACAGGAGGTAGCTGATTATGCTGAGTCCCCATCAGGGAGCAGGGAGATGAATGTTCCTGCTCAATTCACTTTCTCCTTTTTTCTTCCATCCCAGATCTCCACCCATAGAATAGTACCACCCACATTTAGTTTGGGTCTTCCCACCTTGATGAACCTAATCCAGATAATCCCTTACTGGTATGCCCAGAGATTTATTTCTGCAGTGATTCTAGATCCCATTAAGTCGACAATCAACATTAGCCATCACACTCTCATCACCCTCCTTCTGCCTTTCCCCCATGCTCCTCCTCCCCCCTCCAAATTGGCCCCCTTCTTCATGTCTTTTATTTTAAATCTGGATCCTATATAAGGCAGAACACACAAGATATTTGCCCAAGCCTGATTTATTTTAGTTGATAAGTCAATCTCTAATTCCAACCGTTTTCCTAGAAATCTGTGTGTGCACCATGGCACACATATGGAGGTCTAAGGACAACTTGCAGAAGTTGGTTCTCTCCTTGCACATGTGAGTTCTGAGAGTTTAACTCAGGACCTCAGGATTAGTGTTATGTACCTTTATCTGCACTGAGCCATCTCCTTGGTCTATTCCTTCTTCTTTATGGCTGAATAACAATCTCTCTATGTCAACTTTTCTTTTTGCATCCAAATATCTGTTGATAGCCACCTACGTGATTTTTTGTTAAGATTTTATTACTAGGACTGGAGAGATGACTCAACAGCTAAGAGCTCTTGCAGAGGACCTGAGTTTGGTTCCCAGCACCCACATGGTAGCTAACAACCATCCATAACTCCAGTTCCAGGAGATCTGATGCCTTCTTCTGGCCTCTGTAGGCATTACATGAATGTGGCACACTTACCTGAGAGCACAAAATTCATACACATAAAATAAAAATAAATACATTAAAAAATAAGATTGTATTACTGGTAAAAGATCATAAATACTAAGTTTAGGATACGGAATGAATTGTCATTTTAGTTCTAACACCTACTTTTGAAAGTTAAATCTAACCCAAATACTGCCCTAATTCCAAATATAGTTAACTAGATTTTAATACCTACAGATTCATGGTGATGATAAAAATAAAAATTGCAACATAATAAATAGAAACTATCAAAGGCTCAAATTTATTTCAACATTTTGTAACTTTTCTGATTTTCCTGTGGCTAAATGTTATTTTTCCACTTAAAACTTCTTAGTACAAATGTTAAAAAGTATGTACTAAAAACATCACATTGAGCAAGGCTTGGTGGCACATGCCTTTAATCCCAGCAGAGAAGCAGAAGGCAGGCTGATAGCTGTGAGATGGAGGCAAGTCTAGGATTGTCTGCATAGTGAGTTCTAAGACATATTGCATTAGAAAAATATTCTAGTATCACAGTTATTTATAAAGTGCTAATACTACACAGTTTTCTGGTAAACCTTACTCATTTAAGAAAAATCAGGAATGAATTTGGATTATTATTATTTTTTAAAAAGGAGACAGGGTCTCATATTGCCCAGGTTGACTTCAAACTCACTATTTAGCCAAGGATGACCTTGAACTTCTAATCTTCCTGTTGCTGTTGCTTAAATGACAAGATACAGGCATGGATCTCCACGCCAAATTTTTTGCAGTGCTGGGAACTGAACACAAGGCTTTGTGCATGCTAGACAAACATTCTACCAGCTGAGCCACATCCTCACTCCATATTCAATATGGAGTGCACACTAATCTTAACTGCTTTTCTTAAAAAAAATACAGTAAAATAAACTGATTAACAGATTACTATCAATTATTATCTTTTGTTGTTTATTATTGCTGTTGTTTTGAGATAGGGCCTCATGTAGTCCAGATTGTCTCAGTCTCCCCATGTAGCTTAGAATGGTATTGAACTCCTGATCTTCCTGCCTCCACCTCTGAAGGCTTAATGTCCGGGTTTGGTTTAGGTCTAGCACACTGCATATGTTATTCATTTGCATATGTTCTATTAAGTATTCTTTTACTATCCTTATTGATATACATGTATATATGATATATAAATGTTTAAGATACCTATAAGAATCAGTACACTTATATTCATCTAAATATCTATCAAAGTACTTGAGAAATTCCTTTTTTCATCATAGCAAAAATAAATTTTATGAGCAAATCTTTATGGATAGGTATTTTCAGAGTAAACTGGAGGACAGTCTATGCTAATATTACTACAGTCTTCTATTTTGAAATGATAGTTACTAAGGTGATATATTGTACAATTTATCAGATTGGAACATGTGGGTTAACTGTTTTAAAAAGACCTAAAGCATAAACAGCAATTCGGACATGGTATTTTTTAAAATAATAACTAAAATTTGTTCTTCCTATTGATTTCTAATTTTTACTTCACTGATAGATTTTATCCTAGACCTTTTCTAGTAATTGCTGACCTTCTCCTGTCCTTTAATGTTAAATACCATGCCATGAACACATTGCCCATGCAACATGGCCTGAAAGGGATCAGCAAATTGAATGTGAAGATGAGAAACAAATCCAATTCTTGGCTAAGCAGAGACTATGAAAGTCTTATTTATGAACTTATTTCATTTCTGTGTCCTAGTTCATTAATGCAGGATTTTCCATTATGTACCTTATTAGAAATCAACATTGTGAAGAGCTGTGCATTTTATTTTCACTGAAACCTTTGCCTCAATGTGTTATTATTGAAAGGTAGAGGTTTTGCATGTTAAACGTCATTCTCAGGTCAAGTTTTCTGTGACTGAACAAATAAAACAGATATATGAAATAATACATTTTTGGTATATTCATATAATTATTATGAATGCCCTCATGCATTAATGTGTTCTGCTACAAAGTAGTTTAAGATCTTAGTTATTAAGATTGGAAGATAAATCAATAATAGACTGAGATTTGTTTATTGATGATACATAGTTAAGATTATTATAGGATCTAGAGATGTTTTCTTGTTTTTAAATGTGCTGAAACTATTTCTCACGGAGAAATATCAATGTCCTTATAGAACAACAATCTGTGCATAACATATATGTGATTTTTAGACTCATAATTACTGAAAGAGGAATAGCTTAGCACAAAAACATGAGTTCTCTACACTAAGTAGCTAAAGGGAAAGGCCAAAGAAACTTCCCAATGTGTGGCCCAACCTCTCTGGTTTTCTTCATTTAGAACCATAGGGTCAATTATTTGAATTAACAGCAGTCATCTAACTAGGTGATCTGGTCCAAGGCTGGCATTATGCTGCTTAATGTAATAACATGCCAAACATGAAAAAAAAATGAAATTAGTTTGGGGTTTTGTTTAGTTTTGTGATTTGGGGTATACAATAGTGTTCAAAGCTCCTCAGCATAAGATACTAACTTCATTGCTATTCTTTCTTTTTCAATTTGGCTGCATATTGAGCTTACCTAGAAAACTAAAAACTGAGTTCCATCCCCAGAACGTCTGATGGGACTCAGATGGAAGTCTTATAATACTCCCCATGATTATAATGTGAAACTGATTTGGTATCCACTCCAATATGTTCATTACAACTCACTGCTGGACTGTCACCTAACTCTTCAGTCTATTTTATTTTCTGAAGACATGACACCTCCCCCAACATCCTCTTCTCCCCATCTTGCAATACAGATGTTTCTGTCAAAGGTTGAATGTGACTTAGAAACAAAAAGCAATTTACTAGGACTGAGGGTTTAGCTTAGTGGTGGAGTACAGGCTTAGGATACTAAGGACATACTAAGTCCTAGGTTCAATCCCCAGAAACAATGAAAGAGACAATTATACTTATAACTTTATTCTATAACATTTGCAAACATGTACCTCTTTATACATGTTAGAGGCACAGACAATAACATTTAGCAGTGCTTATTTTTGTTAAAAGAAACAAATGGCATTGAAAGTCAAGTTGCCTTCTGATTGCACAGACTAAATAAGAAAGTATTACATATATCAGCTTTACAAAGATCCATGCTACCAATGAAGTTCATGATGAAACATGTGATATATAAGGAGACTAAAATATTTATTTTACATATCTACAACATGTATCTTCATATTTCTAGATCAACCACAAATCATATTGGGAAATATTTAAGTACATGAAAAACTTCAAAACATAAAAAAATTAACATTTTGAAAAAAAATCACATGTGAAATCTCATTAAATAACAACATTGACAAATAAATAATCGCCTTTACTTATTAGCTGCTGCCATGCATTTCTGGCATTCCATTCCAAGCGAGGGTCAACATGCAGGGTATAATTCCATACTGAGACTGTAAAAAGCTACAGGGCTTATTTTTGAAGTGAAATGTCACAAGATCTCCCTTTGTCTTTCAAAGGAAGATCACTCCTGGATGCTAAACTGCTCCCATGAAAATTACTGGAAAAGCATCTTTCTGAAATGTTCTGTGAAGATAACATTTTTCAATGTACTTTTCTGGTTTGAACGGATTTTGTTAGAGGAGGGCAAGGGTGGGCTAGGGAATGGAGCCTTATCAATGCCTTTTAAGAAATTTCAGGGAATGAAAACTACAGGACGCTGGACTTTCTATGCAAACTGTACTCATTACATCTTGAAAAACTTGCAAAGGAAAAGCTGCTCCCAGAGAAGGTCCTGATACTTAGGACAGCTTGCTGGGTCTGATCAAAGCAGAAAGCGTATACTTTCAAGTGAGGAAAGAGCAATGGCAGTCTCGAGTCTTCCACGCAATCAGATCTGCAGAGCAGATGGTTTCCAGACAGTCCAGTCTGAGAGTCAGTTCTAACTCAGGCTGTGCCTGCTGGATTTGCTGGCTCTCTTCCGCTCTCTGTGATGCTGGGCGGGCTTGGCGGGTGACACGCTCTCGAAGTTGTGGCTGGACTCGTTGTGCTGCCGCGTGTACCTCTTGCACTTGCAGGCCGTGACCACGGTGATTTTGTAGGTGCGCGTGCTACCGTCTTGGCACTGCAGCTGGATTCTCTGGGTGCGTGTCTTGTCATTGACACACCGCCACTCCTGGGAGCTCCTCCTGCTCCAGTACTTTGTTCCATAGCCTCCTCCGATCCAGTTGGGGAGTACTGGCAGGGGCAAGCACTCGCCAGCGCACACCAGCTCCTTCAGAGGACTGATGCTGGTGCACTGACCATCGGAAATGTATTTGGTGGACCGCAGTTCCCGGCAACCCACTTGAACTCGACCTGCAGGAAACGGAAAAGAGCATGCATCAGAGGCAGAAAGCAATTGAAGGGTTTTCTTTTTTTTTTTCTTTTAAGTAATTTGCAATGACAAAAAATTATGCAAATTGTAGCGAAGTGCCAAAGAGAAAGTGACCATCAACTTTTTTTTTCATAATGCAAAAAACGTGCTTATGAGCTCTATGACAGTCTCATGAAAATCATGACGCTATGTAAACATAAAGACTGTAACTTTCTGGAAAGAGAAAGAGAAAGTGAGAGAGGGGATTCTTTTCCTTTTTCATGTATACTATTAGCTTATTGCTTATTAGAGTATTTGAGAATCATATTTACAGTCTCATTTCCAATAAGTGTTCCACTCATGTGTAATTATTCACTCTTCAAAAAGCACACTTTAATGTTCTCTCTCATGGAACATTATTGGTTAATGTTCTCAAGTGCTTTTAATTTAAGGTTTTTTTTAATCTGTTGAGAAAATGTGGAAAATCGCGTACAGTGCATATGCATGCTGTAATATTTTATTTCAATTATAGAATTCAGCTGCACAGAATCACACATACATGTGGATACAACCTCTGACATTTTGCATATCAAACTTAATAACTACATTTTAAACGTACATTCTCAAGCTACATTTTAAAAATACAAACAGTAAAATGTTTGAAATGCAAAATGCCACAACTCAATATTTAAAGGATATAAAAGCCCACTAAATCAGGAACGTATGGTTGCCATAACAACTTGGCTACATTTCCATGAATTTTATGGCACAAAAATACCTAACGTGTCTGATTTACAGCAAAAGGAACCATGGTGTTCATTTCCTGAATATTGGTCATGGCAAACTTTTTGCTTTCATTATTTGGATTTGATAAGCATGTTCTCTAATTGGCTGTTTCTTGTTACATGCCTTATGTAATTAAAACAAAAATTAATCTTGAAATATTTGAAGTTTTCTTTACCATTGCTTTGTTATCTACACCTCAGGAGAATTGCCTCTGACAAGCTTGGAAGGACATCAAGGCTTATTAACCAGGAAAGAAAAAAAGATGGGGGGGCAGTTTAAAAGGCATAGGCCGATGAAATGTCAAATATGAAAATTATAAAAGATGTCAGAGTGGTTCTTCACAGAATATCGAAAAGTATCTCAAGTAGAAAGTGAATCAGGAGCTTTGCTTCATCTCTGCACCCCAGACCTTCTGCTGTAAGAGTCCTAGCCTAAGGAAGTGGTGTAGTGGGAAACAGCACATGCATGTGTATACACATAGAGTCAGAGCTGTAGGGCTGAAATGAAAGGGTTAAAGCTTTGGCTGTACAGTGTGCAAAGCTTGCCTGCCTCAGATTCCAGCTCACCTTCCTGCAGCAGCCTGAGGAATGCACCTGGAAGCAGCCAGAGAGGATTCTGACTTCCTGGCTTTTGTTCCTGTATGTACAAGATCCAGCATTTTTGTAGTGACAACCTAATCACAATCAGGTAATTCTTATGTTCTTCAAATCAACCATCTCCATGCAAATTAAAACACTTCAGTTTTCTTAGGGAGACATTACCAGGGATTTGATTTGACTTTTCAAAGGTCAAAGCTACTTTTAGTAGTTGAATGGAGTTTAAGGAGGGGGGGCAAAGATCTGTGTAAGAATTCCTGTGCACTTTTTCTCTGTCTCTAATAAAGCCTGCTTATTAACATGTGAACTCTTTTAAAGGAAGAGAGTGACTCAAATATTAGGGGAAGAAATTTGAATCCCCTAAGTAGTGGCTACTTAATGTATCAAATAGGCAAATAGAAAAGACTCAAAGAATGCTCCCTGTACAAAACATTAGCATACCATTATTTAAAATTTCTTGCTATATAAATATGTACTGAGTCTTTCACAGAAATATAGTTACCTCAATTTGACTTGTTTAATTGGGAATTTTTTAAAGAAAATCATGATGCTCCAACATTTTTATTCTATTCTTTTACATTGAACATCATTAAACTTTAAACCATTTCTCTAGACATAATTTAGAAATCTGTACGAACAATTTTATTCTCTCTGGATGTTTCCTTTCCTCCTCTGTTATTTCCTATACATACTTTTAGTCATTACCGTTAGGCACTTCACCAAAATTACTTGTCCTGCAATAAACCTGCAAAAGAACCTGAACTTAAACTATGTAGAACAATACTTTTAAAAAGCCTCCTTTTGCAGAGTTTTAAAGAAGCAACAGTTTCATCCCTAGATACATTTTCTCTGTGGATATTTGATAAGAACAAGTCTGTGCCTGCGTTATCAAGCCACTATTTTAATTACATTAACTATAAAATCACTACCCAGGGAAGAATGCCAGACTACACATGCAGCAGATCATTCCCAGATTGTTTTGCAAAATATATATTGTTCAGGATCATTAACAATAAAACAATTCTACAGGAATGTGAGCTGATGTCCACCTCCCCCCACACCCCAAGAAAGAAATCTGTACAAGTAAAGCACACTTACTGTTCCGATCCAGTCCAGTGTTACTGAAATGCCTGCCTCCATTTCTGGCTTGATTCAAAGTGCTGTTGCTGCTAGGGTGTGCTGGAACAGGTTTAACCACATGTGAATAAAGGATTTCTGTGGCATCATTTTTAAAAGCCAAACAGTTTTTCATTAGGATGCATGCAAGGGAAATGAGATAGAAATGAATGGCAGGAGGAAGCATGCTGACTCGAGGATTTGCTTGGCTGAGGAGCTGGCTAATTCCTTTCCCTCTGCTTCTGCACTGTAACTGAAATTCCTCCTCAAGGTTCCCTTTATATATCCACAGAGGTTTGGCGTTCATTCAGGTGTAAAGTTGTGTGGAGCCTCACAGTGAAAACACAGAGAAGGGGTGGACTCCCTACATGACCCTGCAAAAGAACTTTACCAATGGAGAAGAAGGCTGAAGAAAGGAGGAGCTTGCTATACAAATTGCCTGAAATTTCTGACTTGGACTTCACTTGCCTGCTAGCTGAAGCAGGCAGCCACAGTTCTCTAACAACTGCCACTCTCCTCTGCCATCCCTTCTCCTGAGTCCAGTTCACGGTCAAGTTTAATGCAAGGGAAAATGTGTTGCTGTTCATTTAAGGAGACTGAGTTTTGCACGCTTGTTCTATATCTCCCTCAGATTTGAGAAGACTTGAGGCTTGGAGGGGTTCTCCCCAATAGCTAGAAGATTTCATGTATGTTTTAAGTCATGTCGGACTTGCATAAAGTATCTAGTTAAATATGTTTGTCTCTCACGAAACAAACCTTTTTTCCTCTGAAAGTATAAGGCACAGAGCTAAAATCTGCCCTCTGGATACACTTAAATAATGCTGCTTTGATCTGTGTGAACTACTGTGCTGCTAGGTAAATGATTGCCAGGGGTTCTGTGTGAAGACTAATGGGAAGAGCTCTGTCTGAATTAAAGTAACTAATATCAGTTTTCATCCTAAAATATGCCAACAAGAATTAGCATTCAGTGTGTCTCTTTACACAAAAGAAAGCCATCTCCAACATATTGTTTGCCAATTCTAAACATCTCTAGATTGTTCTATGCTGCAGAACACAGGCTGCATCTGTATTTGTCAAACATTTTGTTCATTACTTCCTTTGAGTCTGCTACCTAAGTAAGAAGCACCGTATTTTCCTGAGCTAATTTATTTACACCTGACATAGATATTCCATTAATTAATATTAGGCTGCTGATCTTTATCTTTTTTTAAAAGAAAACATGAGGTATTGGCAACATGCCTCAGTGAAAAAAGATGCTCACCACCAAGACTGACAGCCTGAGTTCAGTCCCCACAATCCACATGGTAGAAAGAGAAAAGTAAATTCTGAAAAGCTGTCCTCTGGTCTGCACATGTATGCTGTGGTGTAAACACACATACACACAAACGCACACGCACGCGTACTTATACACACACAGAGGCTTAAAAAAACATGAAATTTCATTTGATTTATGAGACATTTTAATTTGAATAACTACATATTCTAAATAATCTTTTCAGTTATAAATCCATTTTTGGTCTTAGTGTCGCTATTAGAATGATCTTTTAGTGTAGGTATTACGTATCTCTCTTGTATATAAGCTCCTATCCATTATAACTACTCTCCCCCTCCTTTTTTCCCTCCTTTTTTCCCCTGTGTATATCAACAGTGTCACCTACTGACATTTTGGAACAAGAACTTCCTTATTATACAGGGATTGTCCTATATCTTTAACGTTTTATCTGGCTTCTATCCACTAGATACCAACAGCACCCCCCCCAGTTGTAATAAACATAATTCCAGCCATTGCCAAAGTTTCCCTTGTGGGTAAAATCATCCCTGACTGAGAACTATCAATTCTCTATCCATCTTTCCATATTTTAAAAAAAAGTAGAAATAAGAACAGAGGTCCAAGTATCAAATAATAATGGAATGTTTTTTAATTTTTTTAAGGAGAAAAATGGTACTGTGTTTTTTCTTTAAAAACAATGACAGCTTCTCCTTTAGAAATGAAAAGCACCTATAGATGAAATGATAGGGTCTGGAATAAGCATCCAAATGATATGGTGAGGGACAGGAGAGTGGATGTTGAGAAATTCATTGTGAGTTGTGGCTGTGTCATTTGTGTTCAAAAGTCTTCAAAACCAAAACTTCAGAATCAGAGCCAAACGATTACCTTAACGAATACAAATTTCTTAATAATAATAATCTCGATATCTTATTGCTGCATGTAATCATTTATTATTAAATTCTTTCTAGAACATAATAAATTTATTTTGCGCTAAAGAAGATTATGTGTCAGGCTCTCTCCTCAAATACCATGAAAAAGTCTTGTCCTGCATTAAAGGACTTCATGTTAATTACATAAAGCATGTTCATGTTAACAATTGACCTGTAGATTCAATGCCGACAGGAAGTAAGAGTCAAAATAATCTAATCCTTCTCCAATACATTCCTTTTCTTGTGTCAGGAGCAGGAAATATTTTAGTTTGAATTTAATTACCAGATTGGGCTAAACAGATTGAACAACTTAACAGAATTGTTAAATCTGCTCAGCCTCTAGTATTCTGTAGGCTCAGCCTTAGCACATCAGCCCGGAAGAAGCAAAATGAGAAAACAATGTAGTTGGTGCATAATGAACAAGAAAAGCACAAAGTTCTTTGGCACAATAGAGCTTGCCAGGCCAAATTTAGGAAACTAATCTGATAAAATAGAAACAATCATAAACTTAATACTTAGCGGCTATTACGATCAGCTTAAAGCAACTTCATTAAGAATACCATAAATGGCTGGGCACGGTGGCATACACCTTTAAATCCCAGTACTTGGGAGGCAGAGGCAGGCTGATCTCTGAGATTGAGGCCAGCCTGGTCTTTGTAGAGAATTCCAGGCCATCTGGGGCCACAGGGAGATCCTGTCTCAAAAACATAAAAAGAAACAAACATAAGAATAACCATAAACAGTTACTCTGACAAGAGTGTAGATGTAGATATTAAATATCAACATTGATTCTTTCTCATCTGCAGGTCTTTCTGTGCATATGCTCTTTCCTCTGCTTAGGGTAGCTTTACCTTCTCCTCTTATCGTTTGCTTAATGCCTATTTTTCTTTCAATCCAGTTTGAATAGTACTAGCACTAAATTTCCTGTACCCTCTATCTTTTTGCATCTGGATCCACCGCTGCACCAGAATGTCAAGTTGACTAGTGACTTGACAAGCTTTATAAGAGAAGAATTATTTTTATTTTTATAATTATGGAGTATGTAAAAAAATTAAATATTTAAGAAATACAGAAAAGTCCTTCAACATGTAAAAAGATGGGTAAATATTTGTGGTAGACAATATGGTACTCAAATAGTCTTCTTTGTGGTTTCACACCTGCTTCTGAGTGTAGGATGAGCCTAATAGCTGACTTCCAGTGAATATACTATGCTAACATGATGAGATATGACTTCTAAGATTCGGTTTCCCAAAGACAGTGACTTCTGTTTTGCATACCTGCTCTAGCTTTCTCCTTGATGAAAGCCAGCTATCATGATATGAATTCCCCATGAAGAAGCCTATGTAACAAGGAACTCATGACTGCAGTCAAGGACCTGAGACCCTCCACCAAATATCCCAGAATTCTCTCAGTCTCCACATAGGTGCTATTGGAAGCAAATCCTCTTACAGCCATTCCTGTAAATGAGGCTACAGCCCTGGCTGATACCCCAAATTGCAACCTAATGAAAGATGATACACTCAGGACACCCACAGAACTGAGATACTTTTTAAAACTAATTTATTATACAACCATAGGTGATCAATTATTATGTATAGAAATGAAAATATCAGGGTTGGAGAGATAGCTCAGCAGTTAAGAGCACTGGCTGCTCTTGCCGAGGACCTGGGTTTGGTTCTCAGCACCCACATGGTGGCTAACAACCATCCTAACTCCTGTTCCAGGGGATCTGACACCCTCTTATGACTTCCACGGGCATTGCATGACATGGGTGCACATTCATACATGCAGGCAATACATTCATACACATAAAATAAAGATAAATAAAGTATTTTCAAAAAAGAGATGAGGATGTGGTCAGTATCCACTTTGTGAATGACACCAGGGCCTTGACAGCATCGGACATGAAGCTGTTGATCATGGCAACTGCAATTTTTACTAGGTAGGATTGGGGTTTGCATTCTACTTCACTGCTGAGTCATCAATGTGGTTCCATGATTGATAGTTCAATAATGAAATTAGGGGGAAATTAGAATTAGTGTTATTAATCTAACATAATTTTCATATTCTAAATAGTATAGTTTATCATGTGACTCCTGGAACTGCAACCAGAGAATTTGAATATATTTACTTGGAGATCACAAGCAGATTTATTTTCAATCCTAGAGTTAGATAATACTTCATTCCACAAAATAGAATGTTTTCCTGAGCTTGAGTCTTATTTCTACCATTTACAATTTGTATGAACTTGGCATGTTGTACTTCCTAGATCTCTCTAAGAAAGTTTCTTCATCTGTAAAATATAACCAGACTAACTTACCAGAGAGAAAAATAGGGGGAGCGATAAATCCTAAATTCACAATGTAGCTCAAATCTGGACTCAGAAGAAATGTGGAAAAAAAAATGTCCCCTTGAGTATGAATCTAAAAGTAATGTTCTCATTAGAGTCTTCAAATTATAAACATGACTTTGGAAAGACTAGAGAAGTCATGAATAAATACAAATTTACCATATATAAGGTGAAAACAAAAAGTTAAGAGAAAGTAGACTGTCTACCTTGACAAAATAAGACATAAACGTAACCTGACGTAGCTTTTTATCTTTGACAAGGGAAAATCAAAACAAACATGAGCAAAACTATTTATTAGATTCAAGGATGAACTACATCTGCTACTTAACTATTTCCAGATGGTTACAGTTAATAGAATAGAATTTAATTGGAAAAGCGAATAACCATTACAAGTTTAAGAGGAAAAACTGAACAAATACAGTATTTTCATCCAGGAAAGTCCTTAAAAAGAGAATGGACTTGCTGTAGGCCCTCAGATAAGAGCCCTGTTCCTTGTTCTCTGGGTCTACTTGATAGATCATGTGTGTCAAGTTTGTTCATTTTATAGCTATATATTTTTTGTTTTGGTTTAGTAAGGCTGGACTATAGCTTGCCATCCTCCTGCTTTAGCCTCCCAGTCATCACACCCAACTCTGTATTGAGCCTAGTAATTCAAAAGCAGTGCCATGCAGAGCTGCCAGACTCTGTGGTACATGAGCCAGCCCCTGTCTTCCCTTTCCAAATAGCTCCTGTGAGGATTCTTTAAAGGAACTCCCTTCAACCTAATCCCTGTGTACAATTTCCTTCCTTCCTCCCTCACCAGC